TTAGGGTTTGGGGTTTAGGTTTAGTGGGTTTGGGGTTTCGGGTTTGGGGTTTAGGGGTTTGGGGTTTAAGGTTTAAGGCTTAGGATTTATAGGGTTTGGGGTTTCAGGCGTTTCAGGGTTTAGGGTTTGGGGTTTAGGGTGTAGGGTTTATAGGGTTGGGGGTTTCAGGCGTTTCCGGGTTTGGGGTTTAAGGTTCAGGATTTATAGGGTTTGGGGTTTCAGGCGTTTCAGGTTTAGGGTTTAAGGTGTAGAATTGAGTGGCCAAGGTGTAGGGTTGAGGGCTTCAGGTTTAGGGTTTCAGGTTCAGGGTCAAAGGTTTAGGGTTCAGGGTTCAGGGTTTATACCTCAGGGACAGATCGGGGATACGCCAGATCCCGGGAAGATCTAGCAAGCAGATCCTCTACAGGGACTCTTCAAGGAACCCTTGAAGCGGACCCCGTAATGGGGGGCTCCTATCAGAAGGTACCCTTGAGTAGTATCCGGTCCCAAATTAGGGATTCTACGTTGTATTTTGCTGCAGGTGGTGCGACACATCGTATGTAGGCCCTTCCTGGTGAATCTCCTCTCGGGTCACATGCAGTGGGCTGGGTGTTGCGGTGGGCATGGTCCTGCAGCCACTGCCTGTGCACCTAGTGGAAGTCCGTGCGGCCGATCCTGTTGTATACATGTCTTGCAGGATTCCACACGGGTTTTTGAAGGAGTCTGCAAAAGATTACATGGGCCATTCAGAAAATCAAGGTCCCGTTGGAGGGTTCTTTTTGCAAGAACCTGCTAAGGTCGAGCCGGCGCCCCCTCCTTAAAAACCCGAAACCTCAACCCCTAAACCCTACATCCCAAACCCCCAAACTCCTAAACCCTGAACCCTAGACCCCTAAACTCCTAAGCCCTAAGCCTCTAAACCTCTGAACTCCTGAACCGCATCCGAGCCAAAAGTCTGGATGCTGTGCGGTCGCAGGCTTTTGGCAGTGGTGGCAGGGCCCTCGCCTGGGGACAGCCTGCCAGAAAGCGAGAAAGAGATTTAGGATTTAGGGCTTGTAGGGTTTAGGGCTGCCCCTAAACCCTAAACCCCTGCACACTAAACCGACATCCCCCTTAAGAATGAGGCCGCCCTTCTGGCCTCTGTTTTGCCTTTCCAATAAGCCTGACCAGGCATGAAGGTAACAAAAGCTCCGAGTAGAACCGCTGGTATAAGCCTTTAAGGTTTCGCGGTTCAGGGCTTTAAGGCTCAGGGTTGTTTGGGTTTGGGGACCCTTATGAAACGCTTTAAAACCCGTGAATTGCCAGCCTCACGAAAGTGTTTGCCCGACCCTAAACACTAAACCCTATAAGCCCCCAAACCTAGACCGTTTTCGCCCTACACCCTAAACTCTAAACCCTTTAAGCCCAAAATCCTAAACTCTAAACTCAGCTGGGAGAAGATGAAACTTAAAGATCCTGCAATGCTGAGGGGTTCAGGATTTTAAGGGCAGCGTTTAGCTTAAGGGTTTATAGGGTTTAGGGTTTGGGGTTCTGGGTTTCTAGGTGTTTTAGGGTCTAGGTTTCGGTTCAGGGTTTAGGGTTCTAGGGGTTTTAGGCGTCTTTAGGGTTTAGTTTTCGGTTTAGGGTTTAGGGTTCCAGGGGTTTTAGGGCTCAGGTTTAGGGTTTCGGTTTAGGGCTCAGGATTTGCGATCTTAGGCTTTTGCTTTTACGGCTTAGGGGCTCGGGTTGGCAGTGCTTAAAGCTTGCGGCTATAGAGGTTTCGGGTTTCTTTAGGGTTTCGGCAGTTTAAGTTTTTGCGGGGGATGTACTCCAAGCCATAAACCCTAAAGCGTAAACCGTAAGCCGTAAATCAATTGATTACAGGACCCCTGATCCTAAACCCTAAACCCTAATCAAATCCCTGAAGCCCTAAACTCCCAAGCCCGAAACCCTTGCACCTTGATGCCTTATAGAAGCCCTTCATAGAGCCCTTTAGAGGAAGGCTAAACCCCGTTCAGGGTAGTCCCCGCACCTTGATACCCTAAACACTTATAAACCCTATCCCTTGCACCCTAACAACCCTAAGACCCGAAACCCTAAATCCTCAATCCTAACCCTAAAGCCCTAAACCCTGCAAGCCCTATCCCTTGCACCTTGATGCCGGTCGAAGCTTTTGCATTCGGCTGCTGCGGGGCGCACTGGCGTCTGCAAGCCAAGATCCTCGGTGGTGCGTGGCGGTTTAGGGGTCTGATACTTGGAGGTTCACCGGTGGTTATAAGTGGGGTTATATAAGTCAGGTAACTAGAGTTATAACCCATATTAGGGGACATATAACCCTGCTTATAACTATCCATGATCCAAGTAGAGTTTAGGAAACCCTAAACCCTAAACCCTAAACCCTAAACCCTAAACCCTAAACCCTGGAGTTTGGGGCTTCGGGTTTGGAATGTAGGAGTTTTGGGGTGTGGGGTTTAGGAGTTCCGGGTTGAGGAGTTTGAGGCTTCGGGTTTAAGGATCTAGGTGGGGGGTAGAGGGCTTGGGTCTTCGGATCATGTTTAGGGTTTAGGGTTTCTTTTTGGGGTTTAGGGTTTAGGGTTTAGGGTTTAGGGTTTAGGGTTTAGGGTTTAGGGTTTAGGGTTTCTTTTTGACGCCTCTTTAGCACCTGCCCGTTAAGTGGAGTTGAACGCCAGTTTGCCTGAGGCAGTTGCCAGCTTGCACACGGACCTCTTACCTACAAAGCAATGTAACTACTAACTACCCCCAGGTCCTGGAAGGCAATGCTGACAGCCCGTAATATAGGGGGGCTTTAATAATTAGAATAGGGTTTCGAGGGTTCCTTACGAGGGTTCCTTATGATAGTTATAGAATAATATACCCCAAAACCCTACTCTAAGTATTAAGGCCCTGATTTTTTACGGAGCTTGCTCAACTCACACAGTCGGGGCTGCCCTCGCCGCACTTGGTACTCCGAAGTGCTTGGTGCTCACAAAGGTGGCCACGAGGGGAATGTGTGGCGGTGCAATGCCCTCACAAAACTCGCCAGTCTTCCTGTCCTTCCCGTCTTTGAGATCCGACATCATCACGAGTGCCTGATCGATCACCTCCTGGGGGGTGGCTCTCGGCATCGCGTACTGCTTGCAGTAGTGGAACTGCCACTGCCACACATGTGGCGAGTGACTCTGGGGTGTGGATCGTGATCGGTGCTTTCTGGTTCAGGGCTTTGGGCTTTGGGCGGTTCGGAGGGGGAGTCTGGGCTTGCCGCCTTTAGGGGTTGGTTCATGCCTGATTTTCCTTTAAAGCTTTAGGCTGCCTGTCAGGACTCAAGGACGGACTAATCAATTTCACGCACCCTGTGCACCTGAAGCCCGTAAACCCT